ACCTCAGAAACCCAAGGAAGGGTGACTAAGAGTCGGATCCAACTCATACTACATAACAATAGCAAACAACAACAAGTTGGAAAAATAAGGAAATATTTCTATCCATTTATGAAAATTATGTTTCTAATAAGTTTTGAAAGAAAAGTGGCAACTCTTTGCAATAAATATTTTATAAAACAGCTAACATTCTTTTTTTTTCCATCATATGATAAAATTTCTACTATGCTTTTCCTATGAATTGTTCCAGTTAATCTCACCTTCACCCTACATACCAAAACAAACCAAACTCATTGATGCCGAGTTGGACCTGCCTCATAGCGACCTTGCCTTGTGTTTCTGAGGCAGTAAGTACCTCTAGGGAAGTAGATTGCCCAATCTTCCTTCCAAGGAGTGGCTGGTGGCTTTGAACCCCCAGCCTTCTGGTTAGCAGTCATACCCCATACCCTTAGTCACTATGCCACCAAAATTATCTAATCTCTCTGCTTTTAACTACTACAGTAATTTGTCTAACAAAGTAGTGACACTTAAGAGTTCATAAGTGGGTTACTTATACCTCAGGGAGCTCTGGTGGCTTAGTGCCTAAGGCATCTGACTGCTCACCAGAAAGATGGTGGTGATTCAATCCCACCAGATATTCCTTGGAAGGAAGGTTGGGCAATCTACTTTCACAGTGATACCACTTTGGAAACCCAATGAGGACTCACTATAAGTCAGATCCGACTCAAAGACAGTGAGTTTTGTTTTGTTTTTTACTTATACCTCTGAACTAACTCTTAACCCCTGACTCAAAATATTAGTACTAACCAAGTTCTTAATCTTTGAATTATAGTGCTGGTGAAGAATATTAAATGTACTATGAACTGCCAGAAGAATGAACAAATCTATCTTAGAAGAAGTACAGCCAGAATGCTCTTTAGAGGCAAGAATGGGGAGACTTTATATTATGTATTTTGGGCAGGTAATCAGGAAGGACCAGTACTTGAAGAAGGATATCATGCCTTGTAATATAGATGGTCAGTGAAAAAGAAGATGCTCAACAAAATTGATTGACACAATGATTACAAAAATGGGCTCAAGCATAGCAGTAATTGTGAGGATGGTACAGGATCTGGCAGTGTGTTCGTCTATTGTACCTAGGGTCATTAGCATTAGAAATAACTTGAGGGTGCCTAACAACAACAACTCTGGTAGCATAGTGGCTAAGTCACTTGCCTGCTAACCAGACGGCTGGCGGTTCAAACCCACCAGCCACTCCTCGGAAGGAAGGTTGGGCAATCCTACTTCCGTAGTGATACTGCCTC